ATGTTTTCTCTGCGAAGTAATGGTTACAGCCTACGTGGCCATCTTAAAGTTGTTCTTCCAAGACCAACCTCATCTTATATGCAACATTCTTTTACGTACCAGGCTAGCAAACAATGCAACAATCTGACAGACAAAATAAGGATGTCGGAATCCCTTTCTATATTTAGGAAAAATTTGCAAGACATACAGTTGTCCTCATCGTATGACTGCAGCTGTTTGTTTTGTAAACAAATAGTCTAGTCACCGATATTCCCTTTTATTAAATTATTGATTACTTTAATAGCAATTATTCATTCTAGATAATTAATTTTTAATTTCTTACCTATTACTTATTACTTATACATGTAAATTATGTCAATTTTTTATGGCACGTTTGCATTTAAACGAGCTATTCGCTCATATGCGATATGTGGTTAAATAAAGTTACTTACTTACTTACTTATGAGAGGTGAGAAATATAAAATAATTAGCCCAAGAAACCGTCCATCCAATTTTCATCTTTATTGACTTTCCTGACCTAAAAAAAATATCTCTCATTCACTATTTACTCTTTCTCTTTCAAGGCTAAAACAGTTCATTTCGTTTAATTCTTATAAATTGTGCGCTTATAGTGGGGGACTTCCCGTACTTTTATACCCCTTTACCTCACGACCCCCACCCTTTACTGTGTTGCTCCCGTCTTCAAGAGGATCAGAGACCTGGGTTTAACTTTCAAACTGTGCCAAAACTTAACTTTCTTGTTCATTTTCTGGCTTTTGTTTTGGCGGGGGAATCATTGGGTCCCGATGAAAGTTATTACAGGTCAGTTTTCTTAATTGACAGCACACACTGCTGGTGATTCCTCACCCAAAGCGTCCTACTTCAAAGTTGAAAAATGTGGCGATCTTTTCCTTGAGAGAAATAAAATGCATGTACTACGCACTTTTGGCAACTGCGAATATGTTAAATTACCGTGTATAGTACAGTCATCACAGGAAATCACGCCTATCGTGTAATCCTTCGCTATCAATTTTTCTTCGTTGTCTATAAAATCCGATCTGATAGTTTGCCATGCTGTTTGACTCACTATCCTTATGGGAAGTGCTTTAGCCTTGTCCAAAAAAAAAAAAATTGCGTTGGAAAGGGAACCATTCCGCACTCTCTGGCGCGCTCACTAAAAGCGGCTTTCCTTTGAAACAAGTTTGCATCATGAGGCAAATCTTCAGTAATTTGGGATGTGCAATCGTATGGAGCGAGCTCCCAGGAAGGTCTTTCATGAACGAATTTTTCGTTGCCACACCAAAAAATACTGAGGCCGATTAATTTAGTCTTTGACGACAATTGACCTGAATGACCCTGAATCGTTTTTTTTTTTTTTTTTTTTTTTTTCTGGAAATTTTCGACAGCTACAGCTTACCAGACGCTGAAGTATAAGACCTATGACATAATCAAACTGAAGGTATTTCCAAATTTACTGGAAGTAATACTGTAATGAATATGACTGAAAACGAACCTATTCATAGCTGATGAGAATGATAAATGATTTTTGAGGCTAAAAAGCTTTACGAAGAATTCATTTCACTCCGGTGCCAATTTTTAGACAACACGACATGACTTAATACTACCAGGACAGGACAAATTAGCAATCATTTTCGGGCTTTGCGATTAAAAAAGTTACTCATACCAAAAGTAACCGTAAATTGAAAGCTAAAGTTATGATAAAGTTACTCTAAAAAACAATCAAAATTATCGGTGTCGCAGCTGATACTTATGAAAGTGAAACGACAAAAAACAGTGAAAAACATTTGGCACTTTTCCCTTAAAAACACCTTGACTTATTTAAAACCTCATTCTGCACGTTTTTGACCATTTAAGAAATAGAGAAACGTCATGACTTATCTTATACGAGACTCTCCAGGCTTATCGAAATGAAAAGGAAAACTTTTAATTAAAGAATTTTTGTGTGCTCGTATGCCCGTCTATCGCATCCTATTTAAGTTGAAATTTTCAACAGTTAGAGGTCATATGATAAAATGCTTATTGATCGAATTTGGTGGGGTCGAACAGGAAAGTATTTGGCTCTCGGTTATGAAGCAAGGTTAGTAGGTCGTGACCTAGAGCCAAGTATTTTTTTCCGTCTCGCCCTACCACTCAATCACTAAATACACAATATTTCGGTTTTTTTACTTGGCACGTTTATCACTCATGATGTAATTAAAAATGAAAAACGAAAAGTGTTATTCTTTTTTGAATAAGGAACGTCAGGCTTTAGTGTTTACCCCTTTGAAATGTTTGATTTTCATCACGAGATCTATCACAGTACAACCTAAGTAAGTTTCTCTCTTGAAATGGTAAGCTATTAATCCATCTTTGCGTTATAATCAACTCATTGTCTTCGTGAATTTTCATTTTCAAGCAGGAGTTATTTGCATTATCGAAACCAAAATTGCTAAAATACTGAGTGACTGTATTTCGATTTGGCACGTCACACTTTAATAACTAATGATGGATTTTAGCAGCCAAAAATGAAATATCTTACTCGGTTTAACCGAAATGTCAGACTTCAGTGTTCATCCCTTTTGGACCGGTTGGATTTGAATCACGAGATTGAGAGTACAACTAAAGCTTCTGTCTTTAAACAGTAAGCTCTATGTGCGTGAACATTGACTCATTATATTCATTAAATTTTCATTTTCTCGGACTGAGTGGATCGGGTAATGTGCTCGAAAATAACAACATTACTGGTCTTACCTTTGAAGGCGTTGATCCAGTGACTGAGAGAGTAGCTTGACTTCCAGTAATAACCAATGGTTGATATTTCTTTTGGGGAAGGGGAGAGAGGTGGGGGAAATGGATTGGACTACAATTACGTTGAAGGATCCACGCATCTGTAAGGCACTCTCCTAAAGACTGCAAACGGCAATTTGCGCTCTTTAATATTATTGTTTCCTGTTTTCCTCAGACAATTGCAAGAAACTTGCAACTAGAGGGCACTAACACCGAGCGATCATTTGAATGATAAAATTTCCTATGGCTGAGGTTCTTCCTTGTCTTCGAAAAATAACCAAAAAAAAAGCAAGCTTGACAAGCTTGCTTCCCGTTTAATTTAGTATTGACGTCAACATTACCTGAATTCTCGAAATTCGAGCAAATATCATTTTCCAAGGCCACACGGTCAAAGCCAAAAAAGGTGGAATTGGAGAATTATGGGCTCACTGTAGTAGAATGAGGTGACGGCTTTTACGGCTACAGGTTAAAACTTTGGCCATGTTACGGCGACCGATTAACATCATTCTATGAGTTGTTACCAGAAACTTATTTTGGAGGTTAAAATTTTATACGACTAACGGTTAAGTAATTTAACAATTTTTACGCTAAATGGTTAAATTTTTTTGGCCGTTTTATGGCTATCGGTTAACCCTATTGAGACCTTCGTATGATTTTATACGAACGGTTATTTGAGTATTTGAAATTGAAAATGATACAGGGGCGACGGATAAAATCCAAAAATGTTAATCGTTTCGTTTCGTCATTTGAAAACATCCCCCAATTATTTTCTCTTCTTGTCGCATCTTACCAGAATTTATAAAAGGAACCATGACAGGTGCAAAATGTTACTTCATTAAACTATCACAATCTTAGAAAACCATTTCAATGTTTATTCATTATTCCATCCTCCTTAATTTCTCTCAGTCTCATTCGAACGGCAGCTGGTTGTGATCTTAGATTCTTCTCTTACGTTGTCTTCGTTTTTAAATTTAAAATTACTCGATTGTGAACGCTGAGAAGCTAAAATTGATCTATATATGATTAGATGCATGCCGATTAAAATGTCAAAATATTGGAATATTCAATAATTTTTTTTTTTTTTTTTTAATGTATATTTTTTGTTTTTGAGTCGCTCAGAAAAAAAGTTTTGGGCTTTCAAGTGATCGACAAATGAGGACCATTCATTCCATTCATAATTATTTGGAATTAAAGTTTAATTCGAAATTTAAATTCATAAAAAATTATTCGGCTTAAGGTCTCGCTTCTTTTGCAAACATATAATAACATGAGAAAATATCCTATAATTCAATTCCGTATTTCTCATTTTTCTGCAAAATAATGTGGTGTGTACCAACCATTCGTTTCGAATTTTCCTGTTAATATGATCAATATGCGGTGTCGATTCTATCGAATTTTTTCTTACCCTTCAAAGTTTCTTTCAGACAAACAATCTATCCTCCAAAGAAAGCCATCTATTCTTAGAAACTGCAACGGTCCATTTCCCGCGTTTTTAAGACTGCATAAACAATAGAACCCTCATTCGTTAGTCTCCTCGTTGTACTCTGTTAGCCTCGAACGACCCCCACCCCCTTCCCCCTCTTAGTTCCGTATCAGAAACAATATGATGCCCCCAAAGTCTCCCTCAGATTCTACTAGATTCTCTTAGTTCTTAGAATAAATTTTACGCATCTGGAATCGAAGAGACATTTGTTTCGCAAAGCATAAATGATCTCCAATTGAATGACAAAAACTTCCACCGCAATCTTTGCATATTACACGGAAATACTCTCAGATAAAAGTCACAACCGTTATGATCTCCAAGTAATTAAACCAACACACCGTTCATCCAATGTTTATCTTTATTAACTTTCCTAACTTCTACAATATCTCCCATTCACTATTTACCCTTTCTCTTGAAAGGCTGAAACATATTCCCATCTAAAACAGTTCATTTCAGTTCTCATAAATCGTGCGCTTATAATCAGGAGTAGTTTAGTCTTCAGTAGTGCATTGTTATAATATGGCTCATTAGATCAATTTTTAAAAACATAGAGTGAGTAGAAAACAGCCTTAGGATTTGGTTGGATGGATAATATTAATTCTGCCTTTCAATTTTTTTTTTTTTTGCCGACAAGTTAGATTACTTTACAATGGGTCTATGTTTTTATCTGATATTTATCAGCATAATTAGGCAAAAACTGAAGCATCCAAAACAAAATAGATGCTGAAATATCGTGTTTGTTTCAGTCGATATTCTTTTTTCTTTCCCTTCAAATTACGCCTTATTAACGACTCCGAGAGATTTCATCTAAATCCACTGTGTTTTTATTTGATATTTATCAGCATAAATAGTCAAACACTAAAGCATCTAGAACACAATAGATGCTGAAAAATCGTGTTTGTTTGATTCTATCTTCTTTTCCCTTCCCTTCAAATTACGCCTGATTAATACAAGTCCGGCACCTCCAGGAAAATAGATCTAAGTCCATGGAAAGCAAAGTGTTTGTCGGATTGCCTGCTTTACTGCTTGTCTCACTTCTCTGACTTTCCAGCAGTAAAGAAACGGGTTCAAAGTGGAGTTAAAATATGTTAAAATAGTTGTTATTGCATCAATAATGACTACATATGAAGAATAAGTTTTTCTAAAAGTGAGCACAAGCAGCACTAAAACTTTTGGTAAATAACAAACAGCTAATGCTAACTGCACCCACAGTGCACTACTCACTGCCTTCCTGTATCTTGCCATGTTTAGTGCAGTCGTTTGGCTCGACTGTTGTTGAACATGATCTTGTACTTGAGCCTGGTGATGTTTAAGGGTGCGAAATATCTTAGTGTACGAGGCGATTGAGATCACTGAGCATGAAAGTATAACTACAATTCCATACCAAATGCTTATTCGAGTATGCGAAACGGAAAATGATGCAGCGGCGACGGATAAAATCCAAAAAGTAGCGTTAGTGATACACGTGCGCTTCAAAGTTACTATTTGTTTATATCTTATTCCTAGTAACAGAGCGAGAAGTCTGTCCACGCTTATGGCCGTCAATGTCAACAAAGACACTAGACATAATGCATAGCTTGATATGTAGACTGCGCCTCTTGCGTATCGACAAAGACTCCAATGTTCATCAACCAAGGACATCCAATAAGTAGCAGCGAGAGGCTGAGTAACAAGACCAACCAACAGATCAGTTGTTGCCAGACAACGATACAAGAGTTTGGACGGTGGATGAAGGGAAGATTCCATGTTAAGGGCAACAAGAATTAGAAAATTCCCTACAAATGCTGTGATGGAGAGGAAAATGTTAACTGCTGCGAAATAAATCGATTGTTGTTGTAACCCAACTACCGAAGAAGGGGAACATGGCAATACTTCATATGCTTTCGTCTTTGTTCCACCCACTGTCTCAATCATTGTGCAGCTCTTAAAACGGTTTTTCTCCTTTCGCTACTTTTTTTTTGAAACTGCTGGCAACACGGAGGAATACTTTTTCACAGCCACCAGCTAACCAAGAAACAATAAAATGTTATAATTCTTTATATTATCAGCTCTAAAAACTTCTTCAATGCAGCCTACTCGTTTTAAATAGGTTGAACGAACTGTCCGTCGAGACTATTACATATTTACACATCTACACCTTTGTTGAAATTTTGAGGGTATGCCTTGCAGCAATAAACCCCATAAAAGGTGTTCCTCTGGCTGATAAATTTCATTCAAGAACGCACTTTAAATAAGAGCTGAAAAAAAATTCAAGGATGAAGACATCTGTTAATTCATGATTTTTTTAAAAAACCTCTCTATAGATAACAAAAATAGGAATTGGCTCGGAACAGTAGAACTGAATCGATTTTAAGGATACTTGTCGATCCGCAAAATGACCTTCCCGCAGAAAAATCGCGTTCAATAAAACATTGCGAAAGTCTGCTGTCTTCAGCCAAATGAGAAGTTACAAAAGTGAATCAATTGTAAGTATCCAGAGCACAATCTTTGTTTTCGGACTTACCCAAAACATCTATCGACCAGTCGCCGACCAGCTGTTTACCTCCTCTTTGTAAAACTATAGAAAAGATGGGGAAGGAGATAATAAAATTCAAATTACTTACCCGTCTTCCCACACGAAAATGTTCATGGCACACGAAAAACAGTCTTAAAATAAATTGAAAACAGTTATAATTCCAAACACATTTAAACAACAACTGAAAATTTATCTATGGCCGTAGATGTCAAGAAATTTGAAAAAAAAAATGTTTAACGTTTCGTATCGTCACTTGTAAACATTTCCCAGTCATTTTCTCTTCTTGTTGCATCTGACCAGAATTGATAAAAGGAACCATGACAGGTGCAAAATGTTACTTCACTAAACTATCACACCATTAGAAAGCCATTTCAATGTTTATTCATTATTTCATCCTCCTTAATTTCTCTCAGTCTCATTCGAACGGCAGCTGGTTGTGATCTTAAATTCTTCTCTTACATTTTCTTCGTTTTTAAATTTAAAATTACTCGATCGTGAACTCTGAGAAGCTAAAATTGATCTATATATGGTTACATGCATGCCGATTAAAAATTTCAAAATATTGGAATACTCAATAATTTTTTTTTTTAATATGTATTTTTTGTTTTTGAGTCGCTCAGAAAAAAGTTTTTGGGCTTTCAAGTGATCGACAAATAAGGACCATTCATTGCATTCATAATTATTTGGAATTAAAGTTTAATTCGAAAGGTCTCGCTTCTTTTGCAAACATATAATAACATGAGAAAATATCCTATAATTCAATTCCGTATTTCTCATTTTTCTGCAAAATAATGTGGTGCGTATCGACCATTCGTTTCGAATTTTCCTGTTAATATGATCAATATGCCGTGTCACGGCAACTGGTATTTTTTCGCAATGTGGTGAGTATTGGCCATTCGTTTCGAATTTTCCTTTAAGAATGCTCAATACGAGTTAATTCTATCTTTTTTTTTTCTTGCCCTTTAAATTTTCTTTCTGACAAACGATTTATTCAAAAAAGAAAGACATCTTAGAAACCGCGACGGTCAATTTCCCACCTTTCTTTTTTTTTTTGTATTTTTTTTGTATTGGAAACTATGTGATTCCTCAAAATCATCCTCAGATTTTTCTAGATTTTTCTAGTTCCTACTAGAATAAATTTTAAAATTTTACGCATTTGGAATCGGCGAGACATTTGTTCCTGCAAAGCATAAATGACCTCCACTTGCATAACAAAAACTCTTACCGCAAAATCTGTACATTACACGGAAATCTGAAATAAAAATCAAAACCGTTATAACCTCCGAACAGATAAAGTTCTTTAAAGTTATTCGGTGGACTTAGATCCCAAGTTATTTCAAACAATGTCTCATTGATGTCGCATTATTGAAAAACAGCTACAAGCTAATTATCTTCCCCCCGCATATGAAAAGAACGCAAATGAACTGCAACAGGTGAAAAATATAAAGTAACTAAACCAACGAACCGTTCATAATAATAATAATAATAATGAACGTTCTTTAATACGCATTTAAGAATCTCAATGCGCTTACAATTTTTACTAAGGTTGAGATCGGACGTCAGCATAATCAGGCGCCTCTGGCAGCCGCTTTAGTCCATGTAACGACCTCACCTTTTCCCCCCCTTCCCACCCCAGGGGAGGACATCCATCACACAGTAATCTCGTGCGTGGGAAATTAACGTCTCCTACCCCTAACCCTGCAGGAGACGGGACCTCCATTTATTCGTCCCTATCCGAGAAGACTAGAATATCTAACCATTTCTTGATGTTGAGAAAGGAAGCATATTCTTCTCAGTTAATTTTAAGACCCTGAGTGTTGGTCCGGCCGGTATTGAACTCTCGACCTCCCGCACAGCAGTCCGCACAGCAGTCCGGCGCTCTCCCAATTGAGCTAACCTCATCCAATTCTCATCTTTGCTGATTAACTTTCCTAACTTCTACAATATCTCCTGTTCGCTATTTACTCTTTCTCTTTCAAGGCTGAGACATATTCCCATCTAAAACAGTTCATTTCGTGCAATTCTTATTAATCGTGCGCTTATAAATAGGAGTAGTTTAGTATTCAACAGCGCATTGTTATTATATGGCTAATTAGGTCAATTTTAAAAACATGGAATAAGCAGAAGACAGCCTTAGCATTTGGCACGAAAACAAGCACCTTCTTCGCAGAGGCCTTGTCATACAGTATATTGGAAGAAAGTCAAACAGATAGTACCTCTCGGCATCTGGATGATATTAATTCTGCCTTTCAATTTGTCTTTTTGCCGACGGGGTTAGAATACTAAACAATGATACTGTGTTTTTATTTGATATTTATCAGCATAAATAGGCAAACATTAAAGCATCTAGAATACAGTAGATGCTGAAAAATCATGTTTGCTTCATTCTATCTTCTTTTCCCTTCCCTTCAAATTACGCCTGGTTAATACAAGTCTTACACCTCCGGGAAAATAGATCTAAGTCCATGGAAAGCAAAGTGTTTGTCGGATTGTCTGCTTTACTGCTTGTCTCACTTCTTTGACTTTTCAGCAGTAAAGAAACGGATTCAAAGTGGAGATAAAATACGTTAACATAACAGTAATTCCATCAATAACGACTTCATGTGAAGAATAAGTTTTCCTATAAATGATCTCAAGCTTATTTGACCCCTTTACATCAATTTTCAAGCTACGCTAAGCGACATCGCCCTATGGTAAAATAATTTTCCAAGAATGAATTGGCGAGCATGAGGAAACGCACATTTTTCATTATTGTGATAAAAGCCCAATGATGTACCTAAATTGGTACTTACCGTATCAAACCATTGATTATGACAGGGTCAGCTTAATTTTTCTGTCGAGGTCGACGTGACTTCACATTAAAAGCGTTTTTGACGGAACAAACTAGTGAGCATCACTGCACAAACTGATAAAATAAAAACTTGTATTTATCTCCCACGCGTTTCGTCTGACAATAGAAGACTTCATCAAGGAGTTTTACAAGTAGGTTAAATGAGCTTTCTCGTGTACAAATAGTAAATAAGTTGTCTCTTATATTGAAGCCAGTGGATAGAATTCGCCAGGTGCGCCTACGGTGTTATACATGCGTGACATTTTTCGGACGTTATGTGTACGAGTGCGTGATCCGTTTGAGGGTCACAGATTTAGTGGAAATATTTGACCCCTTTGCATCACGTAATGTCTCTAGTTTACAGAGGTCTTACGAACCTTCATTACATGGATTTGCCTTCTGCGGGTAGAAGGCCGAAAGTGAATTTCTCGGGCGTAACTGCCTTTGATTTCCCAATTGATGTTGTCGCAAACATAGTTTTTGGGAGTCACGAAACAAAACAACTTATCAGGACCTAGTTTCATGTTCTAATGGAAATAAATAGCAAACAAAACACATTCTCTTAAGAGCTAAAGTTATAAATGAGAGTGGTTCTTTGCAACAAATAGTGATAGAAAAGGTTTCAGTTCTGGTCAATATTGATTTTCCATAGCCTACTGAGGGAACGCGCTGAGGGAATAAAAAAAACATACATGTGTGATAATGCAAGGCAGAGAATAAAAATAGAAATAAAGAAAAAGGAGAAAGCATAGGAACCCGTGTTGCAGCGTGCAGATATATTTTGAGTCAGACCTACACACCTCAGCCCAACACCACGCAGAGTGCTGTATATGAACTAGCTTACACGTACACGCAGGAAAGGCCATGACAATCAGCGAAAATAATAGCAAATGCAGATTATATTTGCATAAAAAACGAAGAAAACAGGCAGATAAGATAAAATAAGAATAAAGAACTTTCTAGAAGTGTCTTCTTAGAAAAAAAAAAAAAGATACACAATTTTTACTTCTTATGAAAGGTCACGCAGTCACGTTACAAATACTATTTCTACGTGGAATTTCTTGATGGTGGAAAGTGGAAAAAACATTTTCCCGTCTTATTTTCTGGAAACATGGCGCAGTTAATGAATTTTATGGGCCTATTGATGTTTCCTATCAAATAAAGGGGGTAGAGTTTCCCGTCATCCGCGGTCTGGAAAAGCCGAAGTTGTTACACACGGGAACTTGAACGTCAACAAGCACGCGACATGTGACTTTAAAATCTCCACTCCTGTTACAGTTTCCTTATTGTGAACTGTGCGATAATGATAATAAACAATCAAATTATACACTAATAAATGTTTTGTTCTGTAAAAAAAGCCCTATTTCCTGATTTTAACAAATCTTTAAAGTAATAAACGACAGAAGAAAGAAACGTTACGATTTTTCCATCAATTTTTCGCCTACATGCATCTCTCTAAACGTGAAATTTTCCATTCCTACATAAAATCTCGAAAGTTTTTCACATTTTTATCTTTCTTGATCAATCATCTTGTACAAAGAGCTAAAAAAAAATGTAGGTTTATTTGGT